AAAGAATGTAGCTTCAGGAATGGAAAGTTACCACTTTCACATCTGTTTTCTGCATTGTCTAATTCCACAAAGCCAGCAGAGCAATGATTTGGGAATTTAAAACACATTTCCATGTGTTTGGTATTTCTAATGTTTGAGCAACAGAAATCCACTGCTATAAGAGAGTCTAGCTACCTTGTTTGTTTTGGAGGAAAAATCAGCCTGGCTAAGTACTAATTATAAGACATGTGCATATCCTAATCCACAGAACCTGGAATAAGTTACTGATAGGTCTGCACTGTTAATAGGAGATGGGGCTACAAAGGACCAGTCAGACACAGTGTTGCTTGTTGACTTTGTAGATGAAAAAAGAGGGTCATATATGTGGGAATGTGGGTAGCCCTAAGACCTGGGAGAGACACAGAAACCAAGATGGTCTACTGTATATTACACAAAGGAATATTACAGCTCTGATGAGACTGTTATTATCATTCTATGTGATACATATCTAACCCTAAACTATAGGAGTATAAGATGATAAAACTGTATTGTTTATAAACCATTAAACTAGTTGTCCCTATAACAAAAACAAAGACTTAATGTTTCTCATATTTTCATTTCCTTCTCATCTTTTTATCTTTGCTGTTATCTCTTTCCTATCACTTTATCATTGTCTGTCCTCTTTGGATGAAGTTCTAAACACAGAGGCCATGCATTATGAACACATCAGCATCTAGGATTTTCTTGAGCTGGTCTTCTCTGACTGAAGGCATGCCTCTGAGTTGTTCATTAATTTTGTTGATTTGATTCCATTTGATTTCAATGCCAAATGTACATTTCCCAGTATATTTTACCACATAAAACCTGTATAGGACATTCCTGCATAGTCCAGTGTTCCCCATATTTTGGAGATGGGGGATTGAATCATCTTTGTTTGGTCACAGTTAAAATTTTACCTATTACAATCTAACTGTATTGCTATTTTTGCAATTATGTAACTATGTGAAACTACAAAAGAAGCAAGCTACTTTATTCTTGCTGGGTTTCCAGGACTTAAAAGACAAGATGTTGATAAGAACTTTCATTTTATAAAACTCTCTGACTTGTGATTCAACACAATGGTTTATTATATTACTGAGTACAGAATGTTGACCTTTTTATTATTATTCAAATTTATGAGATAAAAGAATTCCTTTTCATTATAATACATATACAAATCACTCTACTGTTTCAAAGACATCTGGCATTTCTATCTTATAAAAAATATTAACTATATTTAAGAGGTCTGAAAAAGTATTAGTTCCAGGACTAAATTATTCCTATTTTTTTAATTAAGAAATTTCATGAGTTCGAGGCCAGGCTGGACCGACAGCTTCCAAAACAATACAGAGAAACCCTGACTCATAAAAAAACAAAAATAAAAAAGAAATTTCTTGAGGAAATCAAATATGAGTAAATATGTTAGCTGCATTTTAGCTATTGTGAGATAATACAAAACTACTATACTCTAAAAAGTATGTTTAAGACCTTCATAGAGTCAAAGCTATTTAAATCAAAACAAGGATATATTCACAATGTCTTTGGGAAGCCCAGCCTCACTTCATGCTCTGACATTGAGGAACATTCACAGAGGAATGCTTTCAGATGAAGACTTAGTAAGAAAAGTCTATTATTCCTCAAGATGATAGACCTCACTGCTAACCAAGTGCAGGCTCTTAAAACTAAACAGTAGCTTCTTTAAAGGCATTATAATGATGTGAGAATGCTATCACACAATCACACACTTCCAAAGAGCAAGAAACATGATTCACTATATGAAATAGGAGAAGTCTGTTAGTAATCCTGACCTAGGATTCCATTCACTCACAGCTTCTAAATAAGAGAATGTGATAGTTAATATCAACCATAAACTTGATGGGTCCTAGAAAGATCCAGGAAACAATACTTTGGGCAGGTCACTGAGAGATTATCGTGAATGGAACCATTCCCTGGACTGGATCTTAATTTGCAGAAAAAGAAGATCAGCTGAGCACAAGCATTTATTGTTCACTTCTACCTGTTGATGCAATATTCCCACCATCGCCAGGCTCATTCTCCACCACCTCTGACTACTTCTGGTACATTAATCCAGAGTACGCCCTTCCATCCTTCAGTTGCTGTAGTCAGATACTTTGTCAGCAACACTGTACATAACCAATATATAGCAATGTCTAATCAGTGACTAGCATCCACCAGTCTATATCACTCTGATGATGGAGCCAACATATGTGATGCAAAACAGTAAGTCTGAGTAAGCCTATCTATTCTGAAAACTAAATATTATCCCAGCAGGTGATTAAGGTCTAGTGTCTATGAAAGGGAATAGAGGCTAGGAGGAGCCATTTGGTATCCTATCAAAAGCACTAACCCACACACACACACCTTCAGCTTGTTAATAGCAAAACTGATGTTTGAATACTGTTTACAAGCTTAAGACAAGAAACAAAAATCTATTACTAAGTCTTAAAATGTTTAAGTCATTGATGGTCTATCTAGTTTATCTTTCTTTGATCCAGTTTCTCTCCTAAAAATTGAGAGCCTAGTAGAGAAGGGCAGAGATCATATGCACAGTTCTAAGAAATACCAGATAGTTTTGTGCACTCAAAGTTTACTACAAAAGAAATAGATGCTTCTTACTATGATGCTTTCTCTATCCAGTGGTAGCATGTCTATAACTTGTACCCACTTTTGTAGGTGATCTGATCAAAGAAAATAATAAACTTTATTTAAATTCTTCTATCTGAATATAAAGTCATGAAAACAGCTACCAGTGAAGACAGCCATGACACATGTGTTAGCCTATGTAAACTAAAACACAAAAGATCTTTCAATTGAGCTGTAAAAAAGAAATAGGTAGTGATTTTACAGTTGCATAAAGTAAACATAATCAGCCTCTGTCTAAATGAACACCGATACAAGAAGAGAAATTTTACACATTTTATGTTTATCTCAAAATACCATTAAACATTGTCATATGTTACATTTTCTTCACTTGTTTAAATACCTGAATATGCTTTCAAAGGCAGGATCAATGGAAACCTGAAATGAAATACATCTCACACTTTAACACACTTTATTCAGCATTGGATGTTTCTGTTCATTGGTTGCTAACTAAAAATGAAGTGGATTCTAATGACTCTACTGGATAGTTAGGTAGAGGAAGAGGCTCTTTGAAGAAAGAGTTTTAAAAATCTCTGCTCCAAGTTTTCCTTAGTCAAACATGGGAGAAAGCAATTATCTTGTCCCTCAATTAAAGGAAAACAGGTGGCCTCAATATAGCTTCCACTTACTCTTCAAATTCTGCCTGATCTAAAGGGATTACCTACAGCTATCCCTGGCTTCTGAAAATTGTGACATCAAAAAATTTGGAAATTATTAGACTTAACACTAATATTTCCTAATCTTTTCAGGAGCACACCCCCACACAACCACACCCACACTTCTCTGTAGATTCTTGACAGGTGGTGGACTAATGCTGTTAAGGTCAAAGACATTGCCATGCAAGACACTTCAGGTGCTACCTAAGCAATAACAATACAGAACCAGTAGAGGAGAGATTATTTGGTTTCATTTTCATTTCTCAACAAACCAAAGAAATAAGAGAAAAGTCAAGAACATGTAAAGTACTCTAAGCTGTAAACAAATGGAAATTATAGTCAGTAACACCTTACATTTGTACAGATCACTATTTTTAATTGTTTGTTTTTCAAGACAGGGTTTCTCTGTGTAACACTCCTTGCAGTCCTATAACTCACTTTGTAGACCAGACTGGCATCGAACTCACAGAGATCCACCTGCCTCTGCCTCCCAAGTGCTGTGATTAGCAGCATGCACCACCACCACCACACAGCCAGAACCCTATTTTAATTTTATTTTTAAATCAGTTAATCCTTCTAGGGTAGGTCCTAGATTGAGCACTTTACAGATGAAAAACTGTCCAGGATTCTAACCTAAGCAAAACTAACCTTGCCTTCCTGGCAGGTTAACAGCAGAACAAGCAACACTCCCTCCCGGGGACTTACACTGGAAGCATGGCACAGAGACTGAAACTCCAACTTCCTTCTTCGTGTTTTCCTATAGAATGTTTGATCTGCTGAATCATTTGGGTCAAAAGATATGGGAGAGTAAGAGATCTGCAGGGGTTATCTGTGTTGCTATCTTGTAGTTCATCATTAAATATGGATCCAACAGTAGATGCTTAGAGGTTTAATAAGCTTCACGGTGGACTGCAAGGAAGATCATAAACGAAAACTCTTCCTGTAATGACTTGCAACTTACAGAGGAAGTTCATTAAGTTCAGTGGGAGACACTCTATACCACAGAGCCCCTTTTTCTAGTCATCCACATAGACAGCAACATCGTTTGGGTTCAGGGATTCAACAAGCATCAGGTAAAGTAACCCCGTTTCACCACCACCACTAACCAATAAAACAACTCTTCTCTACAAATGTTTTGGTTTCAGAGACTGTTCCTATAAAAAAGAAACAGGAAAGAATAAATAGGAGTTAAAACACAGAAGAGGGAGGCCTGAGCAGGATTGAGTTACTTGTAGCTATGGAAAGGCCCCGCGAGTTAATGGACAGCACCAGGAGCAAATCCCCAGCCTAGGGTACATTTGGGGGGAGGAGGGAGCAAGGGGGAGCAGAGTGGGTGGGACTGAGAGTTTCAGGAATAAAAGCCCCAGGACACGCTGGCAGGGCACAGCCCGCATTGCTCGGCAACCGAGATGGCCACGCCCACCCCGCCCCACCTCTCTGGGTGCCACAGGCAGAGACCCAGCGCAAAGGAGGCCGCCCTACTGGGCTCGGAGCCCGGCTCCCCTGAAGGAGCCTCCCAACGCCCAAGTCCCGCGCCTGGGCCGCCTCCGGGCTAGAGCTACAGTCTCCACAGGACTGGGTGACGCCGGGAAAGCTTCCTTCCAGCCCTGGGCCCGCGTCCTGCGCACCGTGACCCCGAACCCCCAGCCCTTGCCGGAAACACACCTCAGTGTAGCACAGCCAGGGCGGCCCAACTGCGGGTCCGGCCGGGTGGGCAGCTGTCCACGCTGCTGTCACTCAGAGGCAGGGGCGGGACGAGGAGCCGCACACCCCTACTCCAGCAGGACCAAAGGGGGAGGGGCGGGGCCAGTCCTCAGTCTGTGCTCTGATTGGCTAGACCTTCCCTGTGCGAGCCTGCAGTTCTGCGCGAGCCCTCAGGCCCATCCGTTTGTCTGTACCAGAAAGCTAGTACTTATTATGGTGATGCTCAAGTTAACGGTGAGGAGTCTGACTTTTTTCACAAACATAAAGCGGAAAAAATTATTTTAAATGAGTTACTAACTTGAACCTTTTACGTTCAAACACACTCAAATCCAGTCTGAAGAACATCCTCAGGAAAACTTTGCAACAGTGAGAACTTATTGATGAGAGATTCAAGGGGCTGGAGGTGTGGTGAGATTAAAAAGGAAGAAAGAAAAGAAAAGGAACAGAAAACGCTTATTTTAATTTTGAGCTTTTAACAAGAGAATCGGTTTAGGAAAAATAATTGCTGAAATGTGACCAATGACTACGATTGTAGGTCTGTTTCGGGACTTAGTTTTCACATCTGTAAAACAGGAACAAACAATATTAAGGTATAAATATACATACCATTTGGAACATATTTGGCAATCGACTGATCGATCTCTAAATTATGCTTTTTACAATTCTGACAAATCCTTCTGAGAGATATTATTCATAGATTAGAAACCCAGATTAGAAGTGGTCATTGAACAAACCTATAGGTCAGCACTGACTCTTTTTATACTGATGTAAACTAAATATAAAATCCAGACTATAGGAGCTAGAGGGGATGGAAGCCACCAGGGGAACATGGCCCACCAAATCAACTAAGCAAGGCTCACATGCGCTCACAGAGACCGAACTGGCACAGGGCCTAAACGAGTCTGTACCAGGCTCTCTGCCTATTTGATATTGTTGTTAGCTTGGTGCACCTGCGCAGACACTAACAATGGGAGAGTGAACCTGAAACGGTGGCCACACCCCTTTGGAAGTGGCTTCAGATTGAGGAAATCAGAAAGAGAGAAGCTTGAGGCCTAAGGAGTGGTCTCTCAAGCACTCTGTCTCTTGGGTCACCCGATCAGATTGGAAGGGCAGAGAAATGATCCCAGGTTTCTTTGTTATTATCTGTGTAAGTGTTCCCTAATAAACACCCGGTTATCATTTATCTTGGGTCTAGTGAACTCATTACACCTATGCCTTCAGGAAAGGATGTATCTCTGACTCAGTGCCTGTTCTTAGACGATTTTCCTCCTATTGGGTTGTCTTGTCCAGTCTCAATATGAAGGCTTTTGCATTATTTTATTGTATCTCATTTTGTCCTGTTTGACTGTTGTCTCTTAGGGGCTTGAAGAGAAAATGGAGGAGGAGTAAACCTGAGGACAGGGAGGCAGAGTAGTGAGGAGGGGGTAAACTGGCGGGGATGTATTTTGTGAAAGGAGACTCTATTTTCAATTTAAAAAGAAATGCAAAATAATAAAATAAATAAAATCACTTTCATTCTAATTTTCGTTACTAAAGTTTGCTATCCTCCCCTAGCTAGCCCTTCACATTTTGTGTAAGAGACAAAATACCATAGAGAAAGAAAGCAGACACATAAATATTTCTTTAAAATTTCTCATGATACCATATTGAGGAATGAAGTCAAAATGTGTTTTTATTTTCTGTATCTCTAAATTATTTTCTCATATCCAAATTCTTTAAAACGAAGCAAAGGTAAACTTAAATGATGTTATAGTAATGTTCTTGACCAGGCTTGTGTATGTATTTTTCTCAGGGAGAGGGTTAAACTAGTGAAGCTTTCTATTCATCATTTGTTAAACCAAAAACAAGAAATGTGTATCTTGTCAGCTATGAAAAGTGCTTCATTTTTCAAATGAAATGTCCACCATGTTGTGACAAATTTTTTGGAATAAAAGGAACAAATTCGAAATGCAAATTATTTTATTTTTTTATCTTGTTTAACTTTCAAAGTCTTCTGAAAGTTTGAACTATGAATAACACTACCCAAAACTTTCCTGATATTTTAACTTACGATCCCATTTAAGTTTCTTTAATCTTTTAAGACATTTTAGTCTGAAAGAGTTATGATTATATATTAATAAGTACACTATATAAATAAATGCTGTTAGCTTTAAATAAATGTGGAGAACCCTTTTGAGTCATTTTTCAAATGCATATTCAAATAGTGAAAATGCTTTTGTTTGAATTTCGCACATGCATAAAATATACATTTAAGTAAATGTATTGTATGCATGTCAATGTGTTATCTTTGAAATAAACACAGCTGTATGTTTCACATATGTATAGCTGCAGATGTTTGAGGTATTTATTCTGATTGCTGGAACTCGGTACCTTTTTATTTAGTCACACATCCAGGAGAAAAACACTGGGATCCATATGCAAAGAACAGAAAATAAGTCTCTGCCACTGAATTTCTAACTGTGAATATCCTTATGAAAGGGCTTGCTTATGTTACTTATAGTGTAAGCATTTACTATTGTATGAAGTGGCACTGGCCACTTCGCAGTAAATATACTATAAAGTAATCTTCCTCTGTTCTTTAATGATAATTAAGTTAAAATATTGTCTCCAAATAACTTAATGTTTCCTACATTGATAGTAGAAGAATTTGAGACTGTCTAGACCTCAGTCACTTATTTTGCATTTGATATTTCTGATCCAATGTTTGTAATTCTTGCATAGACACAATGCACATATATAAAAGACTTAATATAACTGACCAAGTACCAAATAAATAGGCAAATATATTTTAGAGATAGACAATAAATAAATCGAAAGGAAGTGTGGAGGTACATGCACATGTTCCCAGCATATGAGAGGCTGGGGTGAAAGAAGTACTGCAATTTCTAGGTCGTGGTCAGAGTTAGTATTCTATTGTGGAGACATCATGGCCATGGCAACTCTTATAAAGGAAAGCATTTAATTGGTGCTGGCATACAGTCTCAGAGGTTTAGTCCATTGACATCATGTTCAGGAGCATGGCATCATGTAGGCAGGCATGGTGCTGGAAAAGTAACAGAGAGCTTTACATCCTGATCCTCATGTAACAGCAGGCAGAAGTGGTAGGAGACAGAAAGTAAGACTGGGAGACTGGGTCTGGCCCTGGCATGGGCATTTGAGATATCAAAGCTCACCCCCCAGTCACACACCGCCTAATCTTTCTTCAACTGCTTAGCTCAGACTAAGCATACAAATTTATGAGTCTATAAGGGCCAATCCATTCATTCTAGCATGGACTAGATAGTGAGTATCAGAACAGTAGAGACTACATAACAAGACTATGTCTCAGAAACTCAAACATTATAACATCCTGATGGACATTATAAAATGATCTTTATTTCTTATAATATTATCTGCTGTGAAGCAACATTTTCTGATCCCAATATAATTATGTCTAGGTTCAGTATTTTGTTCCTATGTTATTTTTTATTGATAGGTTCCCAGACTACACTCCAGATTGACTTGGAAATCACTATGAAGTCTAAGTTGGTCTTTAACTTACGGAGAACCTCCTGCCTCAACAAGTACTAAGATTATGAGCCATCACACCAAACTTTGCTTTCTTTTGAATACCATTAACATTTAACTTTTCAATTTCTACTTTAACTAACCTGTGTCTACATATCTAGAAGTGTTTTTAGATAACTTAGTGCTTGACTCTTGCTTTCAATCTAATTTAACATTACCTGCCACATGATTGGAAGGTATGCCTATTTCATCAATATGATTACTGATACGACTGGATTTTCTGTGTGCTTTCTTGTTATTTTTTCCACTAGGCTGTTTGTAGTTTTGTTCCCCTTTGTTTGTGTTCTATTTGATAATATTTTATACTCCAATCTGTTTCCTTTACTGTCTTAACATCAATAATCTTCAGTGGTTGCCACATAGCCATAATCATCATCACATTTAACTTAATACCAAGTAACTAAGTAATATATATTCATATGTAATGAAATACACTTCATACAGTCCATGGTATATCTTCTTCAACCTCTGATGTTATGCATTTTATTTTTAGATATGCCACAAATTGAATAATGCATTTGTTTTTTGGGGGGTCCTCTATTATAAAGGGATTTTTAAAACCTTAAAAAAGAGTCTTGTAGTCTCACCAACAAATTTATTATTTCCAGTTTCTGTTACTCCTTTCTATAGCTACCTATTATACTGTGTAATATTATTTTCATTCCACTTAATAAAATTCATTTAATATTAAATATTGTGTCTGTCTAGTAGCTGTGAACTTTTTAACCCTTTTTTATGTTCTAATAAGTGATCATTTCACCTTTAGTTTTCAGACATGTTACTGTTGGACACAAAATCCAAGACAGGTTTTATCACTACATTAAAGAAGACATCCAAATTACTTCTGCATTTTATATTTCCGACAATGTCTTTTCCTTTGTAACTACTGAAACTTTTTTCTCTGTACACTTCAGATTTTTCTTTTTAATGGCCACTTCAATTTGATCACACCATGGACAGTGCAAATTCTCTTGCCTTTTGTGTTTCTGGTCTGTTTAGCTTCTTACATTGATTTATAATTTTATCAAATTTAAAAATATTTCAGTCATGATATTAAATATTTTTCTTGGTACTTTTTACCTTCATGGACTTCAATGCTTTATTATTTATCATTTATATTCAAATTCATGGCTCTTTATCTCATCCAATATTTTTTCCTTTTTCTTTTTTTTAATTAGACTTTTTCTATTTAAATTAGAAACAATCTTGTTTTACAAGTTTCTCCAGACTGGTCTTGACATCTTTGCTCATCACTCCTCCCTCTCTGCAACTGGATTCCAGGAGTTCGTCTCCGTGTTTAACTGTGGATGTCTGCTTCTGCTTCCATCAGCTACTGGATGAAGGCTCTAGGATGGCATATAAGGTAGTCGTCAAACTCATTATCAGAGAAGGTAGTCTCTCCACTATTGCTTAGATTGTTAGTGGGAATCATCCTTGTCGATCTCTGGGCATTTCCCTAGTGCCAAATTTCTCTTTAGAACTAAAATAGCTGCCTCTATTATGGTATCTCTTTTCTTGCTCTCCTGTAT